TAGCAATGTGTACCCGGCATCTTCGAATCCGGGGCTTATCCCCCACCACTCCCCGTACGTCTCCGCGCCGCCGTCGGAGCAGCATCTTCAGCCCTACCTGAACTTGCCCTTTCCGGCGACTCACCAGAACGCCACCGCTATTCAGGCGCAGTTCACTGCTCAGCAGGAACACATCGACTCAGTAGGCCATTGGCAATGATGAACACATACGTCGTCGGATGGCCTGTTATCCGTTTTTATTTCCTGTTTTTGTTTATTACTATATCTGCAGAAATGAATATATATCAGCAGAAACATTTTTGAATATGTACTCCGTAATATACTAGCCAAAATAAGCCAGACGAACTTTGCTATAAACGCAGTATTTTTTTTTTGAGAATTTACCCTAAATAGGATTAAAAACGTTTGTAAATTTCAAAATGGGACTCTCATGCTTTTCATTCTCAAAATGGGACTAATTACTGTCATGTTTTGGCAGTACCAGACTTTAAACATGGCAGTATTTTCAAATCTTGACAGTAATTACTCCTATTTTGGAAATAAAAACATGACAGTCCTATTTTGGAATTTACAAACGTTTTTTGTCCCATTTCAAGAACTTTCCCTATTTTTTTCCATTCAGACTTAGGGGTATCCCCAATATGGATTTTAATGGAGTTCAGTTAAGAAGCTGTTCTCTTCGTCTGATCTGAATGTTTCTGATCTGAATTTATTAAGTTCTGATCTGAATCTTTCTGATCTGGTCTGATCTGAATCTTTCTGGTCTGATCTGATGATCTGAATCTTTCTGATCTGATCTGAATACTTTTGATCTGATCTGATCTGATCTCATCAAAAACTATTTTCGACGATGCAATCAAACAATATATCAATTCCTCAAGCGATGGGCCTGTTTGCTAGTGAATGTGGAGGTTTTGATGATATGGGGTTTGTGGAAAAGGATTTGAGGAATCATGTTAGAAATGAGAGGGAGAAAATCAAGGGTCAAGATGCTCAATTTTTTGTTGAAAATTTTATATATATAAAATTTGAGGTTTTTTTTATAAGGTGAAAAAAGATGACGAGAAGAAAATTGAGTTGGCTTTTTGGGCAGACCCGACATGTAGAAGATCATTTCATTTTTTTGGAGATGTGGCAGTTGTAGACTCCACCTACAACACCAATTGCTATGGCTTTCCTTTCACCACTTTTGTTGGTGTAAACCATCACTTCCAAACAATACTTTTTGGTTGTGCTTTTATGCATAAAGAGACATATGAATCGTACTCGTGGGTATTGACGGCATTTTTAGAGGCCATGCCTGGACCACGTACCCCCAAAAATGATTATCATTGATCAAGACCCGACTTTATCAAAAGCAATAAAAATTGCACTGCCCAACACATTTCATCGATTCTGCATTTGGCACATTCTCAATAAAATACCAGAAAAGGTGGGCTGTCCCACCAATGGGTTGGACAGTTTTAAGAGAATTTATCATATAATAAAGCATTCAGAGACACCTGAGAAATTGGAAGAAGGGTGGTCAAATGTGATTAATGAAAATGAGTTGGAGGAGAACGGTTAGATGAGTTACATGTTTGCAGTTAAGGGGCTTTGGGTCCCGACATATGTCAAGAACATATTTGTAGCCGGAATGTCTTCCTCTCAACGGAGTGAATCTACTCATTCGTTCTTGAAAAAAATTGTGTCCAAAGGTTGTGGCTTTAATGAGTTTGTTTCTAGGTTGGATAGAGCACTTTCTCGACAAAGGGAGACAGAGAACACATCAGATCATGAAGATAAGAATGGGTGGCCAAAACTACTCTTTGGGACGACATGTGAGATCCAAGTTGAAAATTTATACACTAAGACCATGTTTCGGGAGTTCCAAAACGAGCTCCATAAATGTTTCACGTATGGGATTGAGATACAAAATTCTGAAAGTGATAATACATTTTATAGCTTATCTTATCGAGGCATGTCCCTAGATCTTGAGCTTGTGCGACCAAGATGTGTTACTTTTAATAGTGAAATCAAAGTTGCAATGTGTTCATGTAGCAAGTTTGAGTTTGAAGGGATCGTATGTGCGCATATATTAAGGGTTTTTGATACATTGAGAATACATTAACTTACCGAGTATTATATTTTAGATAGGTGGAAGAAAGGATCACGTAGGGGAGTAGTGAAAGATGCAAATGGTATTGAAATTCGTGAAGATCGTAGGAGGGCTTTATCTGGGGGGAATGGGAAAGCACTTTATGCTTTTCTTAGCGGATATTCTTATTTGTCAGCTGAGTCATTAGAGGATCAGGAAGTTGGCCTCCTTCTCCTCGAGGAGTGGCGATTGAAATTTAAAGAGCACCTTTCAAAAAACACATCCAAAGAAAGTGGTAAAAAGACTCGTGAACACCCCACCGAACCATTAAAGTTTGTTGAATCGGATCATGCTAGACACAAAGGTTGTGGTAAACGATTGAAATCATCGATGGAAAAGGCGACATCACTCAATAGAATGTGCAGTGTTTGTAAAGGGCATGGTCATGATAAACGCAAATGTCCTAAGCCAGAAAATGGGTATGTGTGACAACATTTTCCTTAATATTGTATCTTTTATGTTTGTTAATTAAATTAACCCTATGTTGTTGTTTTGTGCAGAAAATCGAAAGATGCTCACGTTAACAAACCTCAAAGTACATAATGCAAATGTTCTGAGTTGGAGCTTATCCCATATTTTTGTTAAATATTTGTAGGATGTGTATCTTTTGTTTGAGTTAGTATAAAATCCAGTTGCTCTAATATAAAAAAAAATCCAGTTTCTCTAATGGGGCATCCCTAATTCCCTACTATAGTAGGAAAATCTAAGATGGAGTTCATAGACCAAAAGAATGACTTAAATTATCTAGTATTAGTTTAAAGATAAGTTGACTTGCATTGTGAAGATCATCATATTAGGACAAACTATTTTTACACATAATAAAAAAATTAATAATTAATTAAATTTGTTACACACCCATAGTAACATCATTTTTTCACAAGACCTTATTTGATGTTTAACGCACACAGGTTAATAAGGTTATGGGAGCCGAAAATAAAAACTGAAAGGAAACGAGAACTGTTTTATTAAAAAAAAAAACTCACCGAAATAAATGGCAACAGTTTTTAAGCGTGGGAAGACAATTAAAAGCAAAAAATCGTTGCCAAGTCCAGTTTGATCGAGTGCGGTGTTTTTGAGATGGATTTAAAAATATAAATAAACAATGATATGTCTCAGTGTAAAATGTAAACAAATAAACAATGATAAATTTTGGTGTTGCCTAAGCTAAGCTAGTCCTAAAATGTACGTTGTAGTGTACATATATAAGAAGCCATACGCAAAAGAGATGGAACGGCTGAGTTAGGGCTAAAAATAGAAACGGAAGAATTCGGATATGTTGGAAGCCATTGATCAGGAGAAGAGAATAACTTGCAGTGGGGATAGAACCACTGAGAAAATGTGAGTTGTAGGCATTTCTTTATACATTATCTTTTAGTTGCAACATTGGATTTTTTGCACAATTCACATGTTCTATTTTGACTACATTTTATTAATTGATTTATAATAAATTAAATTTTTAAAAAATATTGTAAAATTCTTCTCATTCTAAAATTTTAAAATATGATTTTTTTTTAATTTTTTTTACTAATAAGGAATGAAAGATATTAATGATCAAACTTGTGCGTTGGCAAACATGAAATGTTGAGTATTGCAATTAAAAAGGAACGGAGGAAGTAATTGTTTAAGTAGTTCATGTTTTCTTTGAAAGTATCTTCAAAAACATGAGTCTAGCCGAGGAAGGAGAAAGGGAGCCGGGGCAGGTGGACTAATACGCAACCACAAAGGTGAATGGGTGAGTGGCTTTATACTAAATATTGGAAAGACGGAATGTTTTAAATCAGAGCTTTGGGCTCTAAGACAGGGTTTATTGTTAGCTTGTGATCTCGATATAAATAAAGTTATTGTGGAAGTTGATTCTAAAAGTATGCTTAAAGTTGTTAAGAAGAAAAATAGTCTCACCAACAGAATAGGGGTGTTGGTTCGGGATTGTCAAAAGCTTCTTGCAGATGAAAGATTTATCAAATTTCAACACACTTTTCGCGAAGGAAATAATTGTGCAGATTCACTAGCTAATGCCGCTCACGAGTCAGCAAAGGGTCTCTTAATACTCCACGAACCACCTGTCTGGATTAAGAGTTTACTTCAGGAGGATGCTAATGGTTTTGAGCGTATTAGATATTAATGTATTTCTGTTTTTTCACTTCCGATGTAACAAAAAAGTCTTCAAAAACATGAGACTACAAATACACAATCTGCATATAGACTAACTGTGCAGGTAATTTTGATATTAGGTGTTATTGCAGAATAGTTTTGTGAAGGTAAGATTTGCACGTACATTCATCGGATAAGTATAAAAAATTAAATATCCGCTACGAGTTAGTCGTACGAACTAATAAAATGAAATTGCAGCCAAGGAAATTGAAGAGACAAGTTTAATAAAAAGTGTTATGATTTTGATTATTAATGATTTAGGATATGATTATTAAAAAGGTGAGAGGGGGAGTTGAAATAGTTCCCAGGTTTTGGGGGTTATTAATTATTTTTTGGATCGGATCAAATAGATGGTTTAAATTGATATCACAGCATTCAACAGGTGTACAAGATAACAAAAGAGGGACATGTAACCACCCGCCCGTGGCTGAGAGTTAAACACCTGTAAAAAAGCATTATAACTAGCTAGACCTAAATTGGGCAACGTAAAGCCAATGACGATTAGCGCAGATGGGGTTATTAATTAATAATAATAGTTAAGTGCGGAGTAATAATAAAGCTGGCATTTGAGTTAAAAAAAACATTTGAATTACTAATTATTACAACTGGCCGGAACTGGCGCGCGTGTAACTGACCGTTTGGACGCCGGGATACGTATATAAATACTTGCTTAATTTGGGAAGGGTTTTGTTAAATTAGGAAAGGGTTTATTAATTAAGCTTGTGACTGCCGGCTGCCTCCTTCCGCGCGCGATCTGAGCTCCTTCGTCTTCGGCTGCCGTCATCTTCTCTTCCCATCGTCGTCGTCATCAGGTACCACCCTAGTATTCCAATTCTATGGTAATTTATACATATACATACACATAGGTTATAGGTATATAGGTATGTGTATTGTAATACGGAGTATAATATATCGCGCCGGTGATCTCTCTGTCGATCGTTCTTCTGCCGTTCTTGACGAATTCCCCACCGGCGGCGTCGTATGTTAGGGTTACTCGATCTTAATTACATCGACACTAATAATTAAAAGCTCTTTTCGATCTTGTCCAATCATTCAGTTCAATTCTTTCTTTTTTATTTATTAGCACCCTAATTTCCGATCCGATGGCCGGCCTGGTATGTATATATTACTGTATATAGTTAGTTCGTTGTTCAGACACACACACCCGCGTACATATATACGCCCACATGTGCCGCCGGCCGGCCGGCCTTCAAATACAGATATATATCATAATTACCAAACATGCAATGTAAAAGACATTCAAAACGATATATCAAATACAGATTAATTGTTAATTAATCTGTATGTTTCCTTCATTCTAATGCCATTACATGTTCACAAAGAACGATTGGTAACATCGATTCAGCAGGCAATGTTGGTCAGTCACTCAGTCATTACCATGTCTTGATCATTGCTCTTACTATATATGGCCGCATCATACACATACTAACTACAATCCATAATTATTTAAATCACATTTAATCAAACACAGTTTGCGCTCTTCATTCATCCATACTATACAATTTTTATGATGCAGGGCTTGTATCTAGCGGGGTTGGTTGGATACGTATCATGACTACTACCGTTCAGCTCCTGGATTCCCTTGTAATTAATTAATTTAAGCTTAATTTCCTTTAATTTGTTTATTTATAACAATGGCTCATAAATGTTGAAACTTTGGCCGATTCTTAAACTGATGTAGGATGTCCCCCATGGAGTGCCGCAGATGAAACTCTGGACCGAACACCTCCCCATCCAAATAAAAAATCAGGGCAACACATGTAAGTTTCTTTTGTGCCAACTCCTAACTATACACTCCACTAATAGCTAGTGTTGCTCCTAATTAATTAATTCGATTTTTTTTTTAAAGTATCAATTACCTAACTTCAAAATTGTGGCCGGTTCTTTTTTAAGCTCTACCTAGTCGAAATCCTTCCGATTGGGCTAAATTAAATTTAAGGCCTTAAAATGCTACGTCCAAAAATAAATATTAACTATATTATTAGAGTTTAGTTTCACTTCAAATGTGTAATTAGCGTTTTATTCAACTTGCAAATTCGCATGTTTATACTATACGTACGTAATATAAAAACAGGTTAATTCTATAAGTAAGTTATGTCCATATGTCCATGGATGTAATTGGATCTTCTTCTTTTTTATACATGCGTAATCATATATATTAATTGTCTCCATTTTAAATAAATGAAACTTAATTGTTGCTCACCTTTTGCATCATTTACATGTTCTCTTTTCACAACGTTTTATTTATTAATGTAATGTTCCTTCTTCTTTTTTGAAAATTATTGTTACTTAATTTCATCTTAAATTATTGTACACACTGAAGGTGAGTCGAGATTGACTTATGCCTCTTTCTTATTAGGCCAAACACGAATTAAATTATTCCCTTTTCATTACTTATTCATATTATCAAGTATAAGTATTAACCGTTAGATCGTTTTAAAATTGAATTTTCCTATAGGAAAGTGTATTTATAATAACGAGTTAATCTTAACCTTCGGATCGGATTAGTATAGAAAGTAAAAAAGAGAGTATAGTGTATATACTCCCTCCGTCCCTATTTTAATTATTTAGCCGGTCGTCCCAAAATACTTAGCCACTTTCTATTCTGGGTAGTAAACAAAATTAATTGCAATGACACAAATAACCTTCTTGAATACGCTCCATCAAATTCCTACTCACTCCACGTCCCTTCACTTTCTCTTAGACAATCTCTCTTCCTTTCTCTTACCATGCATCTCTTTCCTCTCTGGGAAACACCACCGCCATGGATGTTGAGGACATCGCTCCTCTATCTTCCTTGAGACTCCACCTATGGTTGATGAGATGACGACGACGAGAGAGCTGCAAGGAACCAACGAGGATGAAGGTTTCCACACTGTATGGCGCCTGAAGAAAAGGACAAATGCGTTTCTGGCGATGAAATAGAAGTATAGGACATCCAGAGGTTTCAGAATAATGAGGCAAAATAATTTGATGGAATCAAGTTGGTCTTTTGAAAACCTGAGGTTTATCTGTTCGTATGGTTGATTTTTTTTTTTAAAAAATTGATTTGTTCGTATTTCAATTATAGGCATCTTGGTGCTGTTGGTGAATTAATTTTAGTTTGTTGGACACCCCCTGATGTTTTCTCTCAACTCAGTGTCCTTTCTTGCGTAAGAACAACAATTACCTAGCCTGCAAATAGGAGCAAATGGGTCGTACCTTATTTGGGTTTCTTTTCTGTCATTTAAATTGAAGGGCAAATTTGTCTAGCCAACCATATTTATTTTCATTCCTTATTCCTTGTGTCAGTCAACATTGGCTAAGTAAATAGGGATGGAGGAAGTATATTTTATTAATGTGTATATTTTTATTTGGTAACACTATTATTATTTTCATTCTTAAAAGTTGATGCAATTTTTATTTTCAATACAGTTGTTTGTTGGGCATATGTTGCGGCTAAGCATTATGAGTATGTGAGGGCCATTACGTATCCAGATGACCCTCACATTTCATTCTCCGTTCAACAGCTCATCGACGGTGTGTGCCCTTCTCCACGGAAAGTGGATAAGAAGGGGGGATACAAATGGAGAGCAAGCAGCGCACTCCAATGGATTGTGGACAATGGCCTTGCAACAGAGGCGGATTACCCCATGGCGCCGTATAGGGGATGTTTTCGACAGCTTATGGTATGACACGTGCAACCAATATTTAGTTATGACTTGGTGCTTTATTTCGATCTTGTGAATATAATACTTCTTTTTCTTTCTTTGGCAGTCTAATTGGAAATTTAGGGCCTCATCTGTGAAGTTGATTCCCGACGGAGATGAGGACGAAGTCATCAGAGTAGTTGCCAAACATCCCATTGCGGCATGCGTGGAAGTGTATCCGTCATTCATAAAATTGGAAAAGGTATATATTATATTTTTATATAACAATCATTAAGGTTTATATTAATATTTCATTACCTATGTAGTACAGTATAAGATAACAAAGTAAATTCGCTCTCATATACGGAGTATCTTAAATATGTTTGGCAGGGTGTTTATCGGGGCCCAACCCCAGAAGAGACCAGCAAAGGCAAGCACGCAGTGGCGATCGTTGGTTATGGAAGAGACTTGACGACAAATGAAGAAGTGTTCATAATTGAGAACACTTGGGGCACGGGTTGGGGGGATGGCGGCCTTGGCAGAATAAAGCGTGGCCAAAAATTTGGCCAAACCCCTTTTCTAACTAGATTTAGTTATTTATGTATTTAATCTGTGGGTTGTGTGGGGAGGGGTTGGGGGTGTCTATTATTAGTGTTAGGATTAATTAGTAATAATGTGTTCTTAGTGGGGTGCGTGCGTGTAATTATTACTGTGGACTCATGTGCGTGTTTTTTTTACAGGTTAGTGTGCGCGTTTGCCATCGGTTGAAGACCGTCAAGTGTCACTCGACGTCTGAAGCTGAAGGGAGGAAACGCTACTATTTAGGAGTTTAATTATTAATAGAATAGAGAATATCGAACAATTAATTTTGCTTTTTAGTTCTTTTTGTTATTGTTCAATTCCTTTTTAGAATTAGAACTCTATTATACCTTAAGTTTAGTTTTAAAATGGTAGAATTTTATTCCTTTTTTGTTATTTTGCATGTCGATGCTTTACATATTTCCATGCAAACTTTTACATTGTTTTTTAATCTTGCTATATAGGGTATCAATTTCAAAGCTATTTAACTAATTACAGGGAACCTACGACCACACGCACCTATCCATCACGGTCCATGGCCAAAGTCATGGCCGATTCTAAGATAAAAGGGGGTCAAGCACGGGGGGTTGTTTTTATCAAGAATGTTTTTAAAGAGGTCTCATTGACTTGGCAGTTAAAAGGCAGTTGGGCAATGGGATATCCAGAAATCACCCAACTGACCCTTGCCGCTGACATACCAATTTCCATAAATGGATATTCCAGCTCCTTCAAAGTTTTACGATGTACTAAATTGAAAGGTGTCGGTATACAGTGGAGGACCTAAGGGGTTAGGTGGAGCACGTACCCCGCTTCCCGCCCGGAATTTCACTAGTAGTACTTAGGATAAAAACGAGTGTCCCGAATTCATACCAGTATTTGATAATTAAGATACTAAAATGTTACGGTTATATAAATAAAAAATTAATACAAAATATTTAAATTTTAGCTGAATTAAAATAAAAGATGCCTTGATCCTAGAGATAAGTTCCCCGATTTCTGTGAGTCAAAGCTACTGAACCTTGCGGAGTTATATTCATGCGATTTGTTGATACGGTTATTATCATATTTTTTTGGTACATTTCCAATGTATGACAATAACGCCATAGATCCGCAAGTTCAATACAACGAGGTTAGTACTTTATTTTATGTCTTATTTAATGATTTTCATGCACAATATGGCAACGCGCCCCCTCCCCCGACACAAACATCTTCATCTAAAGGAAAATTACTTTTTAAATCTGCTTTTGACAATCTTATGAAAAAAAGTAAAACAACTCACGCTACTAAACAAAGCGCAGTTAATGAAATTCTTTGTATATAATTTATGAGGTTGAATTTGAAGAAAATGATGACTTTGACATTCTAAAGTGGTGGAAGTCAAAAGAAAGAATGTTCCCGATTTCAGCACGGATGGCTAAGCAAGTGCTATCACTGCCGGTTTCAACAGTTGCCGTTGAACAAGAATTTAGTTCGGCTGGCAGCGTCCTAACGGCATCTAGAACGAGTTTGAGCGCAGAGTCTCTTGAGACGCTTTTATGCTACCACAATTGGTTGAAGGTCATACGTAGAACTCAAGAAATTACCATCACCCCCTCCCAAGACTTTATGGATGAATCAACAACCGAGGGTGGCTCCTATGCCGGAGATTCCGATTGATTAGTATTTTACAATTTATTATAAAATGTATTTCATGTTTTAATTTTTCCCTCAATTCTCTATTGTAATTTGTAAACTTGTAGTTCATATTTCAAATAAATATACGTTCATTTTTTTATATGTAGCACTTCTCAAATTAATTAATTGATTACAACTTACAACTTAGAATTAATTATATTATTATTTATTAGAAAATGTATTTCATATTGTATTTTTGTTTTCTGCGATGTACTATTTGTACCACTACAAGAAAATGCTCTATTTGCGAAGGGAAAAGTAGTCGCAAAAACCTAAAAACTGGTCGCTAATTGTTAATTGCGACTGGAAAATGTGGTCGCGTGACGGTTGTTGTAGGCTTGGCCACAAATGATATTTTGGGCTTCAAAATTGTAATGAACTTTTACAATATTTTAGAAATAAAAGTAATTATTGAGTAGGGAGTCGGTACGGTATTATACCGGTATACCGCGATATTTGAAAACATTTACCGTTACCATACTGAAATAAATTGGTACGATATGATACTGTACCGAACATTACAAGAAAATGCTCTATTGGCGAAGGGAAAAGTAGTCGCAAAAACCTAAAAACTGGTCGCTAATTGTTCATTGCAATAGGAAAATGTGGTCACGTGACGGTCGATGTAGGCTTGGCCACAAATGATATTTTGCGACCAGGAAAATCGGTCCGTCGCTAAACGTTTTTGGGACCACATAAAATACCGTCGCTAATAGTATTATTACAGACCACTTCCTAAGACTAATTATGACCGTTATCCCTTCGCTAAATCTAATTTATTAGATTCAGGGTTATTATTTGTCACAACTTAATTAGCACATTTGCGACCATTTTCCTTTCGTTTTTATATTCCAAAAAATTAATATGTTGAGTTTTTTTTAAAGGTAATATGTTGAGTTTATGTATGCCAAATAGGCCTGGTCGCCTGGACTCGGACCGGGTGGCCCGACCCGGAACCGGACCGAATCGGCACTGTTCCGGCCCGGCCCGAGGGCCCGGTCAGTGACCGGTCCGGGTAGGCCCGACCCGCGGGGGTTCCGGTCCGGGCTCGGGTCCCCCAAATCCTGAACCGGCCCAGGCGGTTCTGGCCCGGTTCCGGGCCTTTTTATTTTATTTTTTTGATTTTTTTTTACTTTTCGGGTAGGGCTGGGTACTCTGGGCCATTTGGGATGGTTTTAGGGATGGACTCGGGTCGGGCCAACTGGCCCGGAACCGGCCCGGACCGGTACTGTTTGTACCCGGCCCGGCTCGGTAACCAGTCTGGGTGCCGGTTTGGTCCACCCAACCCGGTCAGATAGCGGTCCGGGCTCGGGCCTGCTTATTAGTGAACCGGCCCGGCCGGGCCGGGCCGGGCCCGGTCCGAGCCTCAACGGTCAGTTTTTTTCTTCTAAAATTAATATTTAGAGGCTCTATAGCCGTTGGGAATGTTCCCAAACGGCTCTATAGCCCGTTGGGAGCATAGGTGGGGGGGGGGGGTCTGGGGGGTTAGGGGGGGTGGGGGTGGGGGTGGGGTATACAAAAAAAAACCTTTTTATACTCCTATTTTCTATACGTTTTTTACACCCCTTCTACAACTCCTCCTACTCTCTAATTCTCTATTTTCTCAATCTCTCATATTCAATCATCTTCATTCTTCATTTTCTCCAAATTCTTTCTACATATATATACTTTATATAATTATTATATCACCTTATATATTAATTATCTACTTATAAATATACACCTATATATACTTATACACATTCATATTATAATAATTCTTAACACATTATATATACTATATATACTTATACACATTCATATTTACTTGATATTTACTTATTATCCATACTATTGTTATTTACTTATATTTACATATTACATTTAGTTAATATATACTTATATATATATATGTATTAAAGTATTAAGTATAAGTGTATTACTCATCTTATAGTAATATACTTATATATTATATACTATATGTAATATACTTATATATTATATACTATATTATATATTATACTTATATTATATATTACTTATAATATATTTACACATTATATATACTATATGTACTTATACCCATTCATATTTACTTGATATTTAGTTATTATCCATACTATTGTTATTTACTTATATTTACTTATTACATTTAGTTAATTAATATATACTTATATATATATATATATATATATATATATATATATTAAAGTATTAAGTATAAGTGTATTACTCATCTTATAGTAATATACTTATATATTATATACTATAAACATTATATTATATATTACTTATAATACATTTACACATTATATAAACTTTATAGACTTATACACATTCATACATTTTATAAAAGTAGTTAATTGTTAGACTTCTCATTTATCTATTAAATTAGTTAATTGTTACATTTCTCTACATTTCTCTTTAAAGAAAAAAAATATTAGTTACTTGTTACGTATATCATTTTTCATTTAATATTAGTTAAACTAGTTACTTAGTTAATTGCTACATTTCTCATTAAAGTAAAAAAAACTAGTTAATTTTTACATTTGTCATATTAATATTAGTTAAACTAGTTAATTGTTACACTTGTCATATTAATATTAGTTAATTACTACATTGCTCATTAAAGTAAAAAAAAAAACCTAGTTAATTTTTACATTTGTCATATTAATATTAGTTAAACTAGTTAATTGTTACATTACTCATATTAATATTAGTTAATTGCTACATTGCTCATTAAAGTAAAAAAAAAAACTAGTTAGTTTTTACATTTGTCATATTAATATTAGTTAAACTAGTTAATTGTTACATTTCTCATATTAATATTAGTTAATTGCTACATTGCTCATTAAAGTAAAAATAAACTAGTTAATTTTTCATTTTTCATATTAATATTAGTTAAACTAGTTAATTGTTACATTTCTCATATTAATATTAGTTACTTGCTACATTGCTCATTAAAGTAAAAAAAAACTAGTTAATTTTTACATTTGTCATATTAATTTTAGTTAAACTAGTTAATTGTTACATTTATCATATTAATATTAGTTAATTGCTACATTTCTCATTAAAGTATTAATTAGAAGTAGTTCGGTTTTTTTTCAAGGAAAACAAATTGTTACATTTGATATACTCATATTTTAGTTCGAATTTGCTATAGTTTTCTTAGTCACGTTTTATTATTACTATTGTACTCATCTAAAATATTTGATATCATTTAATATTTGTTCAATTTTAAAGATGGACCGTGGTAGACATTCTGTAGATATGGGTAATCTCCAATGCAACTGAAATTAGCTCTGTTGTATCTGCTAGGGAATGCCTTATTTGGAAACAAGAAAAAAGTAGTACTGCCTTCATACTATGTGAATCTGGTGGATGATATGGAAGCTTTTAATAGCTACCCATGGGGAAGAGACATCTGGGATGATTTGGTCAACAATGCAGGAAAAAGTGTTGAGTTATTGACTACAAGTTCTTCAGACTGTGTCACATTTCCTGGGTTTATGTTTGCTGTACAAGTATGGGCCTTTGAAACTCTTACAGGACTGAACAAAGCTGGAATTTGCGCCTTCAAAGAAAATCAAGAGAATGCTATTTCTCACACCCTGAAATGGAGTTTTAACAAAAAGCCAAGTCTGCAACTTCTGTGCAAGTTGATATTCCATAACAATGAGGTATCAATTGAAATATTTTCAATGTACATAATTGATTTTAATATAAATATATTGATGAAATGGTTTCTTATTTGCAGTTTGAATATAAACCAATGGAACCAACAGCTCAAGAGATGGAAATACC